TATTTTATTAACACTTATAAATAAATTTATAATTATATAATATATAATATGCCACATAATAATTTGTCATTTTAATAATTAAGAAATTAAGTAAAAATATACCACATAATAATTATTTATAATTTTAATAATTAAGAAATTAAATAAAATTAAATTAAGACATATAAATTATTAAAATTATATTAAAATTTTTAATTATTCGTAAATATTAAATTTAATATTGATATTAATTTTAAATTAAATTATTGTAATTATTTTAATTTTTTACAATTATTTTTAGTTTATGTATGTTATTTAACATATTATATTTAACATATCTCTCTGTCTGTCTTCTGTTTTCTCCTCCTTGCCCAAGCATGAACTGCAATTCCCTCCTCACTTCTGATGCCTCTTTTTCCTTTTCTATTACAGAACTTCCAGGGGGTCTGGATTCCCCTGAGGCTCTGGCATCACCTCCACACATTTTAACCCTTTCAGCTAGCGGTGGGACAGCAGTAACATTGTTTTCCTCTTGCACCAAAGCTCACAGAGCACCCTGGACTTTGTGGGGTGCTCCATGAAGATGGAGAAGACCTTCCCCGTTCCTGCTCTGAACTTCAGCACCGCCACGCTTTGGGGTGTGCCACACGTGCCTCCAAACCTGCCTGGGCTTCTCCTGTGCTCTCTGCAGTGAGGCAGCAGCATGAGCTGCCCCTGAAGCCTCCCCAGAGCCCTTACCTTGCACCAGGAGAGGTGGTCCTGCACGCTGTCGATGGAGAGCGCGATCATCTTCACGTTGCGCTTGCTGAACTCTGGCGCCAGCTTGGCCGCCCGGCCCAGCTCCGTGGTGCACACGGGGGTGAAGTCCCGCGGGTGGGAGAACAGGATGCCCCACCTGCAAGGGGAGGGAAGGAGCTCCTGTGAAGGTGAGGGGTCCTCCTGGGTTGTGCTGCAGATGGAAAGCTGTGCAGGCTGCACGGCGTGGGGTGCAGGAACAGCTCGTCTCTCTGCTAAGGACATGCTGGCAATTCTTTCTTCCCTATCACCAGGAACCTCCCTGAGATAAGCCCTGCTCTGGGAAACTCCCTGCACTTGGCTCCCCACTCTCCCTCTGGGAGATCCTGTAGGATCCTGGAGATCCTGTAGGATCCTACAGGAGATGCTGGAATAGCCCGTGGTTTTTGACACGGAGGTGAACACATGTGAGGAAGTTTGGGGGAGCCACATGCACGCTGTAGCTCAGAGACCCCAGGTGTGAGGGGATGCAGGTGCCAGCCAGGTTATTGCAGGGATGGCCACTGATCCAGGAGCTGGCCACCACCCCCTACACCTCATCTCCACGAGGGGATACACACACACACATACATACATACATCATACAACTCAAAAGAACGGGACAGGACCAAGCCTCAACCCAGCTGCACCTCATGAAAAGGTAAGAATTAATCAACTAGCAGGGGAGGCCAAAACTTAAAATCACTTTGTGGCTCCTCTTACAATGACACAGCCACCTCGATTTTGCCCAGAGCTTGGCAGCAATGGATTTTGAGTCTTTAGAGCAGGTAAATACTAATCCTACACTTCCCAGGTGCGCAGAGAAAAGCAGCAGGACAGGATGGAGAAAAAAGCCTCTCAGGGGCTAAAGCAAAGCCACCCCCAGCGCTTCAAATTCCCTGCCAGAGACTTGTTGCAGCATTTCTCAGCTCAGATCGCACAGATCTTCCTGCACCGATCTTCACCCGGCTCCCAGCAGCACAGCAGAGGGGGAAAGCCCCGCCTGAGAGATTTGGGAGTGCGGCTGGAGGGACCGAGTGAGGCTCCAAACCGAGGAGAAAGGCGCCACGTGTGTCACCAGGCCAGCTCCCGAAGGCCTGAAGCTCGGCGGGTTCTTTTTTTCCCCCCCTTTGCTCAAGCTCACGATGCCGACAGAAGGGGCCGATTCCAGCCTGCCAAGCGCTGCCGGGAGCGGAGAACGCGGGGGATGCTGCCCGAAGGCTCCCCAGCCCCAGCAGGACCGGAGCCCCTTGTCCCCGCACACCTTGGCACCCCCGGCATGGCCGTGACAGCCGAGCTGGCCTCCGGGCCCGGCCCGGCCTCAGGGCCCGGCCTGGCTCTGCCTCCCCCCTCTCCTCAGGGCTCGGCTCGCCCTCCGGGGATGACGGGGACTCCCCACCGCGCTCCCCGCCAGTCCCGCCGTGTCCGGCCCCGTTCCCACGAGAAAACCCCGCATTTTGGAGCGAATCCCTGGAGCCGTGTGACACGGGAGCCGCCCGTGCGGAAGGAACGCGGTGAGCGGTGCCGCTCCGTCCCTGCTCCCCGGCATCCCGGGCATCCCGGGCATCCCACCCCCCTGCCCCCGCCGCATCCCCGAGCGCTCACGAGTCTCCCAGGAAGTCATGGAAGCGGATGCGGCCCTGCGTGGTGTCCGCCTCGAAGTTGGGCGCTTCATCCCCCAGCAGCAGTCCCGGCATGTCTGCAGCTCCCGGTGCAATTCCCGGTGCAGCTCCCGGTGCAGCTCCCGGAGCCGCCGCCCCCTCTGCGCCTGCGCGCCGCCGCCGCCCCCTGCGCGGCCACGTGAGCGGCGGGCACGTGACGGCGCTGAGGCGGCGGCGGTGATGGCGACCTACGTGAGCGAGCTGGAGGCGGCCAAGAAGAGCCTCAGCGAGGCGCTGGGCGAGAACGTGAAGCAGTGAGTGCCCTCAGGGAGCGCGGGCTGCGGGGCTGGGCTGGGGCTGAGCGCTGCGAGACCCTCTCGGCCCCTCCCGTTTCTGCCGTGTCCGTGTCTGCCCGGTGTGGGAACGGCGCTTTTCCTCCTCTGCACCGCCCCGTGATGCCTTCAGAGGCGACCTGGAACAGGGGTAGAGAGAGTTAAAGGAATAAAGCAGGGATTTATTAAGAGGCCTTCAAAGGATGCACCTTGGGCACTGCAAGAGCCTGGCTAAGGCTACACCCAAGATGAGCTCCGAGGCACGAGTTTTCTCATTTTTATAAGTTTTGATCCATTTCCATATTGGGGTTAATTGTCCCATTCCAGCTGCAGGTGATGCAGTCCCATCCTCCCAGATTGCTCTCCTCAATTCGCTGCTGGTTGTGCTTTTTGGGGCTGGAGCTGCAGCGGTGTCCTTGGTTGTGGGGCTGGAGAAGGATTGTTGTGTGTGCCTGAGCTGTGAGGAGAACTGGCTGACACTTCATATGGAGTTCAGAGTTACCAGTGCACTACAGAACCTGGGAAAAATGAAAGCCAAAACTTGAAGCATCACCCAGAGGTGCTCAGTGCCGTGGTCTGGCTGACACAGTGGTGGTGCCAGGTTGTTCTCGGAGGTCTTTTCCAGCCGCACTCATTCTGTGGTCCCCTGCTCTTCCCGAGGTATTGGGCCAACCTGAAGCTCTGGTTCAAGCAGAAGATCAGTAAGGAGGAGTTCGACCTGGAAGCGCGCAGGCTTCTCACGCAAGACAATGGTAAAATAACCCCTGGTGTTTCCCTGCCAGGCCTGGGAAGCTCCTCCAGGCTCTGCGGTGCTTGTCAGGGAAACAGCGGAGGCCAGGGCTCCGGCAGCAGTGGGGTTAAAATGGTGGGAGGTGCCCTGGCCTGCACGGGCTATTTGTAGTTGTGTTAAAATGTGTTAAAAATATAAAACGTGCTGATCGAGCAACCAAAAAGCCCTGGTTTTTTTTTTCATGTCACTGTGGAGACACAATCCTTTGTGTACTTTTCCTTTGGTGGTAGCTGAAGTAGGGGAGGGAGGCCTGGATTCACCTGGGTGCTTTTGCAGCGTGCAGATCCTTCCTGGCCTTTGGGAGTGCTGGAGGGTGAGATTCCTCCATCCTTGCTCCCCGGTGTGTCTGCAAACGTGGGTGGGTGTTGCTGAGCTCCTTGTGGGGGCTCCTGGCGTTGTGATCTCTGTAGGGAAGGGCAGGGAGTTTTTTGGTGCTCAGACTCCAAAGAGGATCCTGTAACTCTCTGATCCTGCCTCTGAAGTTGTTTTCACTTTCTCTCGTGCACAGTTACTCCATGTTCCAGAAAACCTCTGCAATGGAGTCCTGTTTTATTAGAACCCATTTGAGTTGTCTTCATCTGTGTGGGGCTGGTTCTCATTTTGGTGGATTTTCTAGCAAAACCAAAAGCGCTGCAGTGGGGTGCCTGCATGGCAAGAGGGACAGCTGCTCCCCTGGCTGCCTGAATACCCCAGACTTGTCAAGTAGCTGTAACACACAGGAATAACAACAGTGTGTGTAACACTGAGAGGTGACCCAGTTGTCTCCCTGCTGTTGTGGTGTTGTCACAGTAGTAGATTCTCAGCCCAGTAGAAGAAAACTCTCAAAAAAACTTAAATTGAAAATGAACACAACAGTGGGAAAGCTTAGGGAGCTACTTTAGGATGGCTTTGAGGGGGTGCCTTTGGGTACTGATGAGCTGCTAATGAGCTCTCTGTCTCTCTCTCTCTACAGTCCACTCTCACAATGATTTCCTCCTGGCTATTCTCACCCGGTGCCAGATCTTGGTTTCTGCCCCAGGTGAGTCCTGAGAAGCCTCATTAAACACTCAGTGTAGCGCTGTGCCTGCCACTGGTGTGTTTGTGGTGTGTGTGCACAGCACCCCGATGTTCTCAGCCTTAATATTAATGTGTTTTTTTTGCCACACAGGTAAAAATGTAGCCAAATAGTGTTTCAGCTGATTTCAGTAGAGATCCTTCTATGACTATGTGTGCTTGGTTAGAGGCTGATGCTGGATTGCTGCCTGTGATAATCTGGTTTGATTTCTGGATTAGGTGTCTGATGCAGCTTTCTCTTTGATGTGCTTTGCTTACCTCTTTCTCTCTCCTCTGAATTTTGCTCCTGGTCATTGTGGAGAGCTGACTATTCCTGACTGATCTTGATTTTAAGTACATATCTGATAGAAAAGTGCTTACAGGAAGCCTCGGTTGAGCTATGACAAATTAACCCAGTCGTCTGCAGATAGTTAATATTTTAACTTTGTGAGCATCTAGAATAACATTTTAACTTTGTGAATGTCTAGAATGTGCTTTGTTTGGTCTCCAAAAGACCTCTCAACCCAAAGATGTGGTAGCAAAGGCAACTGAGCTGCAATTCAAGATGTGGAGCTGCTGTGTAGGAAGGGAGAGAAAATTGTTACAGTTGACATGGGCTGAGAGACAAGATTTTTAAGAGAATACCTGTTGTAGCTAGAGGAAATAGTGCCTGCAAAATTCATGGATGCCCACAGGTTTTTGTGTTGGAGCTGGTCCTTAACTCTACCAGCTGTGCTAATTAATTGTTAATTGCCCCCACCTCCAAACTTGCTTTGTTTGCTCTTGACTGAACTTCAAAAAACACCTTATGTGTCCTAGACTTGTTCCCTTTAGGGGTCTGGACTCATCTAAATCCAAAGGTTTTTGTCTCTATCTGCTGCTCCTTGCTTTTAACTTTGGGTAATTAATTACAGCTGGATTATAAAAAGAGCACACAGGAACAGTGATTTCCCCTGATTATCACCTGGAGCAGCTGAATCTAATTGAGGAGGGGGAGGGACTCGGTGCCTGCTCTCTGAGCTCAGCAGTGAGGTGCTGTGAGTGTTGGGCTGAGGTTCACAGCTCAGAGATCGTGCTTCTGAGAGGCAGTGGTCAGGCTAGAATCTCTTGCCATGTGGCTGAGGTTTGGGTTTGTTATTCCTGTGTGCATGCTCTGGGCTCAGCTCTGAATGGCATTTGTCTCTTTGTCCAGTCTCTTTGTGCCACTTAGTGATGGCATGCAGCTGTCTGGTCAGGATTTGTCAGCAAACCCTCCCAGGTGTCCCTTTTTGAAGGCTGTTTAGGATGGTGTTGAAGGTAGGAGCCTCAGCACAGAGCAGGGTGCTGCTCCACAGGTGCTTTCCATAAGCTCATTATTATTTCCTGCCTGACCTTCTTGAATTTCAATTCCCTGGAGGTTTTCTCTTGTTCCATTGCAGCTGCTCTTTCCAGAGCTCTCAAGAACCCTGGTTCAGCAGTCAGTGGTGAGCCAGCTGGCCAGGATCCTTTCCCAGTGCTGGTCACCTCCAGGGATTTTAGGCAAGCTTTGGCTGGCTCTGTGTCCTCAGATTGCAGAAGCCAGCTTGAAATAAGTCAGTTTAATCATGGGTGTGTGCTCTTAAAGATGTGGTTTGGTGCTCTGGAGCTCACAGTGCATTCTGCTAGTCCCTCCTAAGGCTCAGTTTTGCTGTCCACAGGTAAGTGCAGAGTCTCCCAATGATCTGGGAGCTGATCTGTGCTGAGGTAACTCTTTCTGGGCCACTGACTGGTAGAGATCTCTTACAGGCAAGATCTCACTATCAGCTGTGTGTGGTGTAGGGTTGTACATGCAAGCCCAGGAAAATGCAGTATGAGTGCTAGAAAAATACTAGCTGTTAACATCTAGATTTCTTTTTCTTCCCCTAGATGCCAGTCTGACACCTGCTAGGTTTTTCTGCTGTAGTTTGTTTGGTTTTTTCTTATCTCTCTTTTTTTCTTTTTCTTTTGTTTTCTCTATATAAGAATGGAAAGCTAGCAGGCTTTTGTTTCAACCACTGTCTTTTGGGTGGAAGGTGTTTACTTCATGATTCATGGAAATTAGTAACTTTAAAGAAGTGTTTTTGAGGCACTTGGCATGCCATCACAAGGGTTACTGATGCATGTACTTTCCACCTTGCTGTGAGAAACAAGGGGAAAGAACCATTCTTAAAATGTTATTCTTTATTTAAAAAAGTAATCATGTGGTAAAATTGTACTTGATACTGTATTGCATCAGAATAAGAGCCCTTGGGGAAGGTATTTTTCAGGAGTGATTATAAGACATGTTGAACCATGCAGACAAACCCATCTGATCCCAGTGGTAGTAGTGGGATTTAGGGGTGAATGGTGCATGTCACCCTTTTTGAGGATTCTTTGCATTTCCCCCTCTCATCTGCTCAGGCTGTTGGTCACCCAAACAACTTCAAATCCCAGTTCCTCAGCCTCTGTGGCACGGGACATTGATCAGTGGTGCAGAGGGAGGGAGCTGTGTTGGCTGTTCTGATGTGAAGGATGAGCATGTTGGGGTCAGCTCTCCTGGCTGTGTCCCCTCTCAATGGGGTGGAGTGAGGAGGAACAAATCCCTCAACTCTGTCCTCTGCGGGAACGAAAACATCCCTGTGTTACCAACATTGCTCTTGGCACACATCCAAAGCATCATCCTGTGCAAGCTACTGTGGAAAAAATTAACCCTCTTCCACCCCAAACCAGCATGCTGGGATTTCTTTCTTCCCCAAAAAATTCCATCAAGAGGAACTCTGGTTTAAATCCTTTCTTAACCTTGCATGGGCTTGCTCACTAAGCTGACCTTGTTTGTTGGACAGTTGCAAGCACTCAGGGTAGCAAGGTTAATGAGTTAATTTGTACCTTGCTTGAACTGTTCCCTCCTTTCTTAGCTAAATGTTAGCACTAAAACTGAGACAACTGCAAACACTTGAGTTAGTGATGTAAGGATTTAATTTATTTAGTAGTAGTGTGGAGCCAATTAAGAGATGATTCAGCGAATTAGAGCTCATGTG